TAGGAACGTAACTTTTCAGCAGGCAGGTTTGTTATATCCCACAAAATCAACTACATCAGCATTATATCATGTGTAGGTTTATCACAGTTCATGCTTTTTCTTTTTGAAAATCAGTTTGATGTAAAAAAAGAAGAATCCTAATTACTTTGGGAATAAAGAATCAGTTAAAAACCTGGATTATCAATAATAATGATAATCATATGAGTAAATAATCACAGATGTGAAGCTGCAATAAACTATAAATATGTTTGATGCTGCTTTCGTCCCAATGCCTTTTGCTAGTGGTACTTTTGTTATTAATTCCAACTGTTTTCCAAAATTGCTTTGCTTTGTCATTTCATGAAATGTATTTTTCTCAAATACTACTTATAAAAAACTCTTTGCCCGTGGCTGAATTATTTATTTTTCTGACCTTATTTACAAGGTCAATACACTTTTTTTTGTTGGTTGCACATACAACAAAGTGTGGCTTCAGGTTTGTATTTAAGAAATACTGTTATAATGATGATTTGACACAGTCATTTATGTACCGCTCACCAAACCTTAAAGCAACAAACCAGCACGGCTCCAAAGGTGTTATCTTCTGCCACAATGCATAGGCGCAGTGAGGGGGTGGGCCTTAATATTTATCACCTTGGTGACATCACAGCCGTGTTAAGGGACTCCCTGGGGCAAACGCATGGCACAGAGCTCCAGCTTCCGTCCCTCCTGCTTTGTTTGAGGGCATTTATTACTCATATTTTGCAAATGAGTTACATTGTGACTCATAATATTAAAGTAAAGAGAAAATCCATTCGAGCTGTTTCAGGCAGCTCAGGAGCCGTGTTTCCGAGGGGGGGGGTTACCCAATTTGGGCGTGGACTTGAGCTTTACCGACCTTTTGAACACAATGAAGTTAAGGCTATAGGAGAAGAATAATAAGGCCTCTTTAGACCAAATCTCACACTGATCTATAATGCCTGAAGAAGGCCCTTTGTCTTCCTGCAGGACACTCAAGTTGTTTGGGTGGGGCTCAGAAGTGGAAGTAACGAATTACAAATACTCACGTTACTGTAATTAAGTAGATTTTTTGGGTACTTGTACTTTTATGAGTGTTTTCTTCAAGTGTGTAATTATACTACGTATATGTTGCATATAAGAAAAGTTGCTAATGCATTAATGTTTTTAGGTTTTCTTTAACTTTTAATCACATTAATAAGACAATAAAGATTATTTAGCTCAAGAAATGATAAAGAGAACCAGATTAACCCTTCATTCTGCATCCGAATACATGAGTTTTGATGGCTTTGGGATTAAGGGCCAGTGAGTCTGACCACGCTCGTTGTGTGTTTGTTCTTGAGTGCATCTGCGTTTGAGTAGAAGTTCACTGAGTTTGAGGACACGCACTAGCAGGATAAGAAGGACCTGCACAACCATGTAGACAGAAAGGAGTCCCACTCACGGCAACTGGAACTCAAGATCAAGAACTACGCCGACCATAGTGAGCACCAACACACACACACATTTACAGTCACATGCACACGCGTTCACAAAGTTTGATGAAACCTTATGAATGTCATTCTCCCATATAGCCATCACCATGTCACCATGTAATAAATAGTGTTCACAAACTGTTTGAGGTTTTGACAGAAGTAGAATGCAACATAATAAAAACGTTCCTATTAACTTTAAAGCTGGTTGATCAAAACAAGAAGACAAATATTAATACACGTGTCTCACATGCATTGAAGCTTTCTGAAGATGCATGTGGGGTTGTCGTGGCGCAGGGGGTAGAGCGGGTGCGCTGGGAACTGCTAGGTTGGTGGTTTGGGTCCCGGCTGCCTCATGTGTCAAGTTGAAGTGTCCCTGAGCAAGACAACTAACCCCTAATTTCTCCCCGGGCAAACTGTTAAAAGGTTTAAAGTGTAATATAAGTCCATTTGGTCAGCTAAATGACCTGTAATGTAATGGAAAAAGGATGATGTGTCACAATTCTCACATCTACATTGATATCAAAGTACCATTTACCATGACACAATGAGAAGAATCCGACCTCTGGTCTACCTTAAAACCCTCCATGTCTGGATGCCTTAATAGCATCAATTAGAAGATAGAAATAGAAAAGAAAGAAACAGAACCTCACTAGTAAGTTACAGTTGCTTTGCTATTGGCAGCCTCTGCTGGTCTTGCTGAGTCAGTGCAGTAAGTATTTTTTATCCTCAAACCTAGTTATCAAATCTCAAACTGGAAAGTCTTTAATAACAACAGTAACACATATTATTAGGAACTGCATTAGTTTTTACCTATAAAAGGGGAAGTGAGGAACAGGAACTGTTCTTTGCACAAGCTTTTAAAGTGAAAATAGAGACCCAAGAATATGATGATAGATCCTGAACTTTATGTGTTGTGTGTTTCTCGTCCACAGTGAGTCACTTGGTTGTAACACTGGCGCTACAGGACGAAAAAAAACGTAAAAACTTAATTTCGTAGGAATCATTAGAGCAAAGGTCTGAAAAAGCGGAAATGCCGTGAAACCTTTCAACAAAAAGAAAATATTGTTACGGCCAAATTAATCCAGTCCATCTTTAGGGCGGGGCTACCTAGTGATTGACAGGTTGTTGTCTGGTCGTTGTTGAGTTTCCGTCTTACAACTTGAACACTTTCTCATTCAGTTGTCAGTGAGTTCAAATGAATTCAACTTAACAAAGTTATTTCAAACTTTTTTGGTCACACTCAAAACGCTTCAAAACGTGACTATACGCCTACTTCTTATAGACAGTTTACGGTCAAACATAATTAAGATGCACGATTTGTTAGAATTGCATGTTTTCTTCCTGCACACAGAGGACACACTACTGTAATAACACACTAGTGGACACAGACATGGTGCTATGTTTGTGAAGTGACAACACAGAGTGAATGGGGCGCTGTTTGTAAAATGTCACACATTCTAAAATCCTGCGCAGTTTTTGTACATTTCACATTATCATATGGAGGAAAAAAGCACGACAATATTCATGTATGTATTCAACCATCATTTACCATCATTACCGGCACATTAAGAGCAATTCGTCCAGCTCGCAGACCGGTCTGTCAGTCTGAATCTGAATATCTTGCCAACTTTACCGAACTATGGAGGTGCCTGCGCATATCTTGTATATCACATATCACATTCACTACAACCTCATGATTTTATTTTTTTCAAAAAGTCGATCCGTATTGAAAGTTGGCAAGATATTCACAGATTCGGACTTTTTCCTCGGTATTTTTCAAATACGGACCGGTCTGCGAGCTGGACGCATTGCTCTTAATGTGCCGGTAATGATGGTAAATGATGGTTGTAGCTGGTTGTCATCTACGGTCCACTACGATCACCGAAGAGGGGCGTTTGTTTTTTGACAACGTTTTATCTCATAATTTCGACTTTATATCCCCTTTCTTTAGTGCGGAAATGGGCTTCTATAGTTGTGTGAATGCATCGCTCCAGCCAATCCAAAGACGGGGTTTGTAACCAATCAGGTGTAGAGAACATGGTGACTGGCTCCGCCCCCTCACTGTCAAAAAGAAAAGCAGCGAGCAGGTAGAAAACTCCTTCGAACGCGAGCAGAGATTAACCTCGCGGGCGAGGAGGTTCACGTTTCGAGAGGGAGCAAATATCTCGCACGAGACGGAGATTTGCTCGCGGATGTTTGATTTACACGCGCATCAACCTGATTTACGCTCTCGAATTTCGACAGTGATTTGCCGCCATACATGTGTGTCTCTTGTCAACTCATTGTTGATTGTCAGAAGCATGTCCGTGTCCATCTCCACGCCCATGTTCTCGTTCTCGTTTCCTTTTCACTGACTACGTTTTTGCCTTTTTGGAGTTTGAGTTGAGTTTTGGACTATTAAAGTCCCTTTTTGTTTTCTGAAAAACTCTGCGTTTGAGTCCTGCCTTTTTATCCATGCAACTTCGTGGCAATTTTTTTTCATATGATAATGCTAAATGTACCAAAACTGTGCAGGATTTTAATTCAGGTTGGTAACACTCTAATGGCAAATAACAAAATGCAAAACTGTGGCCAGTCTGCAGTTTTCCTCCTTTTGTTATCTAAAAAACGTCGAAACTCAAAGTTTTCAATAACTGTAACTATACACTTGCCTATCGTGCCTAGGGCTGCACAGATGTAACACAAAAATGTTGGATAAAAGGTAGGCTTGGCAAAGGTGGAACAGCAGAGACAAATAAGGCGTGCGCAAAGTTTCAACAAAAGTAAATACAATTTATTAACTTATTTATCACAAAAGTCAACTAAAAGCATCAGGGTCTCAAAGGCCAAAACAATAAACAAAACCACCCCACTAGCTGGAAAACGAAGGCGTTCTGGCCTACCGTGGGAAAAGGAAAAACAATACTGACCTCCCTCTCTATCCACATAACTGAGAAAAGATATGAACAGAAATGGCAGAGAACCCTTACACACTTCCTCCACACAATGGTGGTCTTTATGCAGACACTAAATACTGACAGTCTGCTCGTTGTCAGGACAAAGAGAACCCCTTAACACTGGGCCCGGGAGCCTTTATGTAGCCCACTAATGGCCTGATGTCTCTCAGGTGGTGCTGAGTAAAAAAATTTTGTAAAATATTTCAAATAAAAAAATTAAAAACTCCATTAGTTTTTACTGATAAAAGGGGATCAGTCCACCGTCAGTTAGCAGTGATTCCTTGTAAAAGCTTTTGAAGTGAAAATGGAGAACCAAGAATATGACGATCGATCTTTACGTGCCGTTTCTCGACCGCAGTGACTCTCGTGATTCTGACTCTCTCTGTTGATGCCCCGCCCCCAAGCCACATCAGGGTCAAAAGTCCATGTGAAAAAAAATGATCTGAATGTGAAAAAAGGGAATCTAAAAAATGTGAAGAATGGAAAAAAAATATTTAATTGAAAAATGATGGAACTGAGTCAAAACTATATTCAACCCAAGAATACTTTTATCCACTTTGAATACATTTTTGCATTTTTCAATGTTTAAGACAAACACTTTCAGCTTCACATTTGTTTTTCAAATGATCAAAACATTTGGCTCCAGCTTAAGAAGACTGACAAATACTACAACTCATGTCCCACTTTGGAGGACACGTCCTGGTGTCATTCCTGCTGACTCAGTGTCTATATTAAGTGTAGAAGTTGTGATGAAGATGAGAAGTCAGAATGACAGCCAGTGAAATGGGTAAGAGCAGAGATCTCAATGGTCATGAGTCTACTGAAAGAGTCAGATATATTTTCATGAATCAAACACCAGCAAAGTAGAACAGATTATGTTTCTGTCTTTACAGGAATTCCCCAACTGGCTATTCTGACCAAGGTTGATGCAGCGTTTCCTGTAGTGAAACAAAATATGGACCAAGTATATAAGAACAAGTACTTGACTACAAATCATGTCCCACTTTGGAAGACAGAGTTCCCATGGTACTTTTCTATTGTTGGCTTTGTGTTTGTTGTTGCAATTCAATTTTCAGAATTTGAGCACAGAAATGTCTCTTTATTCTCAATGTTGACATTCACATTGTGACACAAATCCTGTTATCCTGTCTTAGGTTGACGAATTCAGCATGTTGCTAGGTATTTCTGCAAAGTGCATACTACAAAATAAACTATATCACAGTTCATGCTTTTTCATTAACATTTTGTTTATAGTAAAAAAAAGAACAATCCTAATTACTTTAACGACCAATCTGATGGATTACTGCTTTATATAAATCAGTAATCCATCAGTTTGGTTGTTTTATACAGTGCTGTATATTACAGAAAATCAAGATTAAATGTTGTGAAATCATTCTCGTCCTATTCTTCTCCTTTTATGATTGTAAGTCACATGATTGTCTGTATGTGAAAGTGAAAGCATACATCCTACATAAAGGGGTTCAACCTGCCACCATTACTGAAGCAGCACTCTGCAGAGCCACAGATACAAAGGTAAATGATTTATATCATGTCTAACAAATATTTTGATGACAAATGTCATTGTAGTGTAGTATCTTTATTCTCATAGTGTTATTCAGATGTAAACAACCAATAGATCCAGTGCTAGAAAAAGGAAAGTGAATGAACGTCTTACCTTCCAGCGCCAGATAACGTTTTATCACCCTGATCAATATATTAAGTTGAGCTACATATCTTCACAAGGTTGATAAAAAAAATTTCTTTTTTACTTTTAGACTTTTATAAAAGCAGTGATTCACATAGATCTATAGATAGATGGGCATATATCCTGGAAATGTATGTGTAGCAGTAGCAATACAGAAATTAAAATGAAAAATGAATGCACGACAAATGCACAATATATACACAATACAATAAAATGCAATAGAACAGCAAATTAGATTAAATTGAAAGTGAAATAGAAGCATGTACAGTGGGGTGGAAAATTACATATTAAAACCTCTTACCTCTCTAAAATTGTATTGACTTTTATTTTATTTCAGTGTGCTTTGACATAACTTTAGAGTAATATAATATTTTGGTCAGATTTGTGACCGTCGTCTTGAAGGTTTTTCAGGTTGTTTCCTGTCATCATCTCTAACTCTGCATACTTCCTACTACCCTATATGGCCACGCTTTCATTTTCTAGTTTGAAAAAATCTCTCCACAAATAAATGTAATTACAGTATTTCATTTGCATTTTTATCTGTAGGAGTTGAAGTTATTATTTCAATTTAGGCATTAGCAACAATCATTCTCCAGAAAAATGCATGCACATCTGCATGTTACTGTCTCCTTTTACAGCAAAGAGAATCGGTGAGTCTTGACCTGTCATCATTTCTGTCCTAAATGTTCAATCCATTGCAGAAGTGCTTTTAATTATGCCAAAATTAAAAAATGTTTCAAAGTGATAATGAGTCATTGAACCATCACCTTTTCTTTTTACAGGTGAAACAGTACAGGGATTCTTTGAATATTATCAATTCAGATAAAAGTTAAACCTGTAAAATTGTTGAAAGATTAAACAATTAAACAATCAGAGTCAATTAAAATGACACATATTCGTTAAGAAAAAATGATTTGCTGGTGCAGCACCTGTGTTTTAAATGTTGACACATGTTTGAACGTATGCTTTTTGATAATAAATGATGTGTGATAATGCTTCCTGTTTAAATGTTGCCTTACTGTCCTTTTGTAGCCATGGGTGGAAAACAGTCAAAAGCTGCTCCTGCTGCTGAACGTAAGATACTCACATCATTACAGAACATTGTTTAAACTCAAAAGAATACTTTGCTTGTCTACTCATCAAAAGCGGGAAGAGTCGATCAAAAGTTGTAAATAAAATCCTGAACGTTCTAAGATGCAAAAATACATTTAATAAATGTACAGAGATACAAGTGATTGATTATTCATTTGTGTTGTGGTTATATTACATCATCATGTGCCCTCTACTTGTCAGCTTTGATTGAAGAGTGGAGGAAAATACAATGGAGGTGAGTGGTGTGTTTGACTCATGGTGCCTCTGACAACAGTGCAGCTACGATAAAATACATAAATATAACTGATAACAATGTTGAAGTGCGGTGAAAAGACGTGACATATAATCTTACCTTTTCTTTAACGAACAGCCAAAAAAAGGAAGTCCTGCAGTGTGTGACGGATTATCAGCCTCACAACAAAGACGTCAAACAGCTCAGAGTTCTGCTGTACGGATCTGTTGGTTCTGGAAAGTCCAGCTTCATCAACTCTGTCGAAAGTGCTTTACGAGGAACGATCTCTCGTCGAGCTTTCGCAGATGCAAACTCCCACAAATCCTCCACCATAAAAGTACGAATCCCTTCTAAACAGAATTGCAGGACACAGATCAGGCGAGCAGCACTTTGAGCAGCTTGTGATAATATTAATGAGCATGAGATAGTGAATCAGATACTGAAGTTTCAATGATGTCATCATATCTGTGTTTTTCTGTTTCACAGCACCGAACCTACAAAATCAACAGAGAAGGACCAGGAACATTTTACCCTTTTGTCTTCACTGACATCATGGGCATCGAGGGGTCAGAAACACAAGGAGTTCGTGTGGAAGACGTCAAACTGGACATGAAGGGACACATAAAAGACGGTTACAAAGTACAGTGCAATTAATTATTGACATCATTGAGTATTGTTGATGCATTTCAATAAAACCATCCAGCTTCCCTTTCTGTTTGTATCAAGAATTGTATTTATGTAAATATACAGTATGTTTAAAGAACTATTTGCACAAGTTATTCTTTGATTTACGCTGTTTTACAGTTCCATCCGTACTCTGAAATATCAGAGGATGATCAATACTACAACATGAGTCCCACCCTGGAGGACAAAGTTCATGTTCTGGTTTGTGTCGTTGATGGCAAAACATCAAATATACTGAATGATGAATCAGAGAGAAAGATGAGGCAGATCAGACTTGCAGCTAGAGACTTGGGTAAGTTTTTTTTTTTTGTGGTTCAAAGATTGAATCAAATAACCTGTCAAACATCTATTTGATTGAGTTGTATTAAATGTTGTATTGGCAGGGATTCCTGTGCTGGCTGTTCTCACTAAAATTGATGAGGCTTGTCCAGAGGTCCGCTCCGATGTAAAGAACGTGTATAAGAGCAAGTACATAAAGGAACTGGTAGGTTTCTATTTCATGAGTTGGTAGAATGTCGTTATTAAATTGGAAACATTTTAAAATTGAAATCTAAAAATAAGCATTGAGCGGTGTTTCTTAAACGTGAATGTTTTTCATATTAGATGGACAAAATGAGTGTGGGACTGGGCTTTCCACTAAACTGCATCTTTCCTGTGAAGAACTACAACTCAGAGATGGAAACAAATGATGACATCGATTCACTGATCCTGAGTGCACTGAAACATATCATTAACTCTGGAGAAAACTTTGTCAACCAGCCAACAACCTAAAATACTGCTGAGGCAAATCTTGCCTCATCTCAGCTTCAAAAAAGTCTGTTTGTGGGGATATAATTATATTGAAATGGACTTGGGTTTTATTTTTGTGATCATTATCTTATCTGCTCTCTAACGGTCTCGCCTCTCCTAATAGTTGAATACAGTATATTAGGCTGTATCGCCCTCACCATGCATTCGAGTTTTTGCATTATTATTTTGATAGTTATGCTTTTTTAATTTAGGTGGTAATGTCCATGTTCCAGTCCCCCAGTAATTATTGAGTACTTCTGTTTAGGTAAACCCACAATAAATGACATAAACAAAAAACATTTGTATCTAGTCTCCTTTCATTGTATTCCTTTTCCCATTCTCTGTATTGTCTTATAATGTAATCCCTTTGAACTATCCCACGCAGTATTACACAATATTGTGTATTATTTGGTAAGGCAGTAACAAACCCCCAAAACTGCACCAGGGCTTGAATTGGCCAATTGTGGCTTAAATTAAATTTTAACTAAAGTTATTGTGGGAATAATTTCAGCTTGATTCCATCAGAGTGAAACCAGAGGTGCTTGTTAAGGAAAAGTAATATAAAAGGTGTTTTTAGATTGTGTTTAAATGAGTCTGGATTGATAATCATCTGTATTTTTATTCATGACCAAATGTAAAAAACTGATAATGACTTTGTGCGATATCTTCACAAAATCTCTTCCTAAATTTGATTGGAGTTTGTTTTAATCTTCTATGCGTTTTGCCACACAAATGTCAACTAATCTTACGTTGTTTGCGTGATTTGACGTCATCACGTGAGCTGGTCAACAACTCAGCTGTTGATGCTGGCTTCAGGTACCATCGGACATCGCTCAACTAAAAGGCAACGCCGACGAAAACATTTTTTAGTTTTCTCCATTATAATTGTCTCTCTGTTATATTGGTATATTAACAACACATATGATGGTGCCAGGCTGTTTCACTATAGTTCAATAAAATATGAGATTTATTCCCACAAGATCAAAAAACATTTCCGGTCGCCTTACTGCGATTTTGGCGTTCAAGTGAAAATCGAAAATACGAGGTTTTACACAGTCCGTGAAAGCAACAAGGGACAAGTAAAGGGAAAAAGGGGGAAGACATCCACGTATCGTCTCTCCTGCATCCCAGCCGCGTAATGTCCTCAATGTCCAACGGTACGCGTGTCGGATGAGACGCTGCTCGCAGTCAAGCCGATAACGTGTCCACGGTGGCGGCGTGACGCGGAAGGGAGAGGGACTAAACATGGAGCTGGACGACGGAGTCGTGTACCAGGACGACCCGGGGACATCGGCGATGATGTCTGAGCGGGTGTCGGGCCTGGCCAACTCCATCTACCGCGAGTTCGAGAGGCTCATCGGCAAATACGACGAGGACGTGGTGAAGGAGCTGATGCCGCTGGTCGTGGCGGTGCTGGAGAACCTGGACTCGGTGTTCGCGGAGAACCAGGAGCACGAAGTGGAGCTGGAGCTGCTGAAGGAGGACAACGAGCAGCTCATCACCCAGTACGAGCGCGAGAAGGCGCTGAGGAAGCAGGCGGAGGAGGTGAGCGCCCCCGTTACCCCCCCACCCCCACCCCCCATCACCCACCCGTCCCGCCACGGAGCGAGACGTGGATGTAAACAAGTGTCACGTCAGGCTGAATCGGTCCTCTCTGTGTATTAGCGCTGCTTCAACAAAGGACACACACACACACACACACACACACACACACACACACACACACACACACACACACACACACACCATCAGACCCCGGCTGAGGAAACAGCAGGTGATGTGACTCAGCGTTTTTGGGGTATCACTGTAAAACATAATGTTTGATAAGACACAAGCGATGGGATCATCTGCTCACATCACTGTGTTTTAGGGTCAAACACCTTTTTAACTGACGGCGGGTCGTCGGCAACACGACCTTCTGTGTGCAGCACTTCATCCATATTCATCACTTACGCCATCAATCAATCAGCTCGTAGAGGCCATAGAAAGTCTGCTCTGTGTTCGGGATGCTGTTGGAACTGAAGACATTCGGGCTTTATGAGATCACGTCTGAGCAGGATCATTTAAGCTGAATTATTAAATACTGGTTCTTAGTTCATTTCTCACCGGTACCGATACACGAACCTCTGAACTCTCTCCGTTCTCCATATCTAAGTTTACGCACCTTTCTTTCTGTTGTAAATCTGGATGAGACAATCAGAAGCTCCGTGTGACGTGAGCTGACTTTGTTGTACTCTTTTTAAAAGTGAAATCGAGTGGTTTCGCAACTAAACGAGAGATTTTGTACCAAAACTGTCACTCATTTGTGATCAGACGCTGCCAGCAAACCTCACGCCCTGATGTGTGTGATTGTGTCATTAGAATTTCTGTGTGTATCAAATGTGAAAAGGCGTGTGTGAATCTGCCTCCAGGTCATGAGCCTTGAATTGAAGAGAGACTCAGACAGTCTGTCCCAGCTCTTTTGACTCGGGGCATCAGGACATCGGGGACAGTGTGTTGTGGACACGTAGACGTCTCTGCACACTCATTGACAGTGAAGCGGTGTGACAGCCGAACGCACACAAACACTCGCACACATGCTGCACACTGCGAGCATACAGTGCGTATCCTTCACATGTGCAGTAAATGCTCAGTGTGCTTCAGGACCGTCCTGGAAATGAGGAGCAGTTTGTCCCCTTCTCCTGAGCAGTCTGTTGGAGAGCATTACTTCCAGGTCATGTGATCCGTTGTCACGCACAAGCAGGAAGGGAACCTCCACCAGAAGAGGTTTTGACCAAACACCAGCTTGCTCATTGTTTGGTTGCTAAATCGAGACGGAGAATTCACACGGATGTAAATTCCGTAGTATTATCACATCCTCCCTGCTCTGTTATTACTACAACCCAGTTTCCTCTGCGCTGTGATGTCATCAGGAGAAAAAGACATGTAATGAATCAGTGCAAATTACTTACGATGTTGATGACTAACACTACATTTGGTTCTGATTGAGTCTGGGGCGTCTCGACACCTGTTTACATCAATAAAACTAATTCACAGTCTGCCTCATTTATGTGTAAATACCCCAAATCAAGTAGGACCACAGGGTTGTTGTTGTTTAAATGACTCATATGGTTTTGCTGTATATGGAAAAATAGGGTAATTTGTCATTGAACAAAGTATATTTGGGTTTGTCAGCCACCGAGCAGACTGCGGTAGGCCTCATGCATCCAGAGGAAGAGGAAGGGCAGGAACATCCGCTGGACAGGATGTGGACGCTGACACACTCTCAGAGGTCCTCCCATTAGGAAACTGGGAGGAACTCCAGTCCAAATCCTGCCCCTCCAATGCTTATGTATACTACTACTATACTACTCAATATGTCTCATATAAGAAAAGTTCTTTAACTTTTTAAAAGTTTCTTTAACTTTTAATCACATTAATAAGACAAAGAAACACATTATTTAGCTCAAGTTCTTATCTTTTTTCCTAATATGTCAATAAATAATAAAGCGAACCGGATTGACCCTTCATCTTGCATCTGACTACATGAGTTTTGATGGCTTTGGGATTAAGGGCCAGTGAGTCTGACCACGCTCGTTGTGTTTGTGTGTGTGTGTGTGTGTGTGTGTGCGTTCCTGAGTAGAAGTTCATTGAGTTTGAGGACACGCATGAGCAGGATAAGAAGGACCTGCAGAACCATGTGGACAGAAAGGAGTCCCACTCACGGCAACTGGAACTCAAGATCAAGAACTACGCCGACCAGAGTGAGCACCAACACACACACACACACACACACACACACACACACACACACACAGAAACACAACTCTACACACGGACTCACACACTCTGTCTCCTTCTTTGCTGGGGTAAGTAACAGTAATGGGATTATAGGATTTCTGTTATTCACGTCCTCTTAATGCGACACTGCATTACCGCCCATCTCATTGGTGGATTAAGGAATGGAGCGAGTGTGATTGGCTCATATTCGGTCTGGTGGAAAAAGTGGATTCCCACTATGACTGATCTGGTATCTAGTGGCAACGCAACACAGGCGGTTAAAGTGACTCAGTCACTCACACAAAGCTGTGAGAAATGCCCCTGACCTATTTCAACCAAATATGTTTTTTCTATGACATTTTTCCACCAAATATTTTTAGACTTTTTTTTCAATGATATATTTTGATCTGACATATTTTGACTTTTTTTCCCCATGAAAGTTTTCAACAAAATATTGATTAAAAAAAAATTCCGTGACATTTTTCGACCTAATATAGTTTAGAAAATTAAATGGAAAAACAGTCAAAATATATTAGGTCAAAAAATATCATCAGAAAAAAAGTCTCAAAATATTTGTTTGAACATTTTCATGGAAAAATATATTGGGTCAAAAAATGTCCTGACAAAAAAATGTTATGTTATGTTAATGTTGCCATTAACAAAGCAAAGTTGCACAATGTTTGGTTTATCAAAAAAATAAAAAATCTGTTTTTTACAAACAAAAAGTTTGTTTTTTTCAACCTGAATTTATTAGGTCAAGAAAAATCACAGAAAAAAATCTTTGTCTTTGTCTAAATATATAAGGTTGAAAAATGTAATGGGGAAAAAAAACATAACGGAACAGCAGAACGATTAACAAAGCAAACATAAGTGGCTCAACATTTTGGAAAATGTGACTTGAATCATTTTACATCAAGTATTCACCGAAGTTGGGAAAATAGATCAATGAGTATTGAGTATTCACGCACACCGTAAATGGTTCAACCAATGGCTCCTCCCACTGAATAGTAAACCATTCCTTCATGACTGCGTGTCGCAGCAGCTGCGTCGTCCCGGACAGAATCCACAGCTGACGATGGGCAGTGACACTAAATAAGATTTCTTCAAAGCTATTCTCACGCTTTGGTCTTTGCTTTCTTTTCTCCTGGCATGGCCCTAAAGAGACGGATTAATAATCCCTTTTGTTGTGTGTCTTTCTCCTTTATGTCTCGCCGTTCTCAGACAAAAGGCATCCAGCAATCTGATGATGAGGACTTATTATACACATGTCTCACCCTCTTGGCCCCCCAGCACATGTCTGCCACTATGTTTAATAGACTTTAAATGGCTGTAAAACAGCTCCCACACTGATCAGATGTGTCTTCACTGGGGTTGGTGTTAAACAGCTTTTTAGATAAATTAATTATTAATTCAATCAATATCCGCTTCTTCGCACTTATTTGCCAAACTTTGACAGCTCTACCACGAACACGCAGGAGGGATTACTCCTTACAGCCATCCACACCTCACTGCATTACCTGTGTAATGCCAGCACACACACACACAGATAAGGACAGCGTCATACAACGTGGCGAAGCTTTAGCAGCTGTAATTGATAGTATCCAGGCTTTATGCTGGATGTATCCCGTCTGCGGGAGGAGCTCTCTGTGTGGATTAGGTTAGACCTGACGCGCCAGCGGGGGATTTGCTCGTTTTGTTACTCCATGAATCAACTCTGCATTCAAACCCATTTTAGAGAGATTACCCCCCCCCCCCCCCCCCCCCCCGTGCATCGCACGCTTTGCACGCTTACATGTACTCCGATGAGTTACGAAGCATGTCTTATAAAGTTTTTATAAATCGCTTTGTAGTGACGATTCAAGGCCACTATGATAGGATATAGTGCAGCTGGGTATCCTAGCTTAGCATAAGGACTGGATACCCTCTAAAGCTCATGTCTCGTTTGTTTAGTCTGCACAAAACTCTTCGTGTGAGAATGATGATTTTCTGTTTAGGGGGTGTGGCCTGAGCACATTTTTACAGTTTTTGTGCAAATAAGATATAACAAAAAATAAACAATCTGCAAATATTTCACAAGAACAGTTTGGTCCCTGTTTTCACGTCCTGAAACTGAGCAGTATTGTACTCTGGTTCAGTTGGCAGGTTAGAAGAACGTGAATTGGAGCTCAAGAAAGAATACAACTCACTCCACCAGCGACACTCAGAGGTAAGAGGGGGGGGGTGAGAGGGGGTGAGAGGGGGGGTTATGAAAGAAAAGAAGAACAAAATTCTCTGGGTCTTTGCCTTGACTTTCCGAGAAGATCCCTAACTACATGGGGCACGTGGGGAGGATCAAAATGCAGCAAAAAAATGAGAATTCCGAGTCAAGCGCAGTCGCCCGAGTCAGGTAAGACCACGGCAGGTACGTTGAGTTGGTACTGATGCTGCGTTCTCCGCGTGTTGGATGGATAGCGGTGATGAGAAGGACTGTGATGCCTCGCAAACATTCACGTCATCAATGCCAGAGTTTCCGTTGCCGCTCTCTGCGTGTGTCCTCCTGGACACATTCATGCAAAAATCTATATTCTTTATTTAATTGAAAGATGTATATTTTTCTGTATTTAGCATATTTTAATACTATTTAAGCACAGTGGGAATTATTTTCAAGCAACATTACGACCGGAGAGATATAATTATGTCGCACTTTCAAAGATTTTCATAGTACAAAAAAAACGTTTATCAAGGGGACAAATTATAGAGATCTTGTCTCACCATTTGTCAACTGGCGCCTTTTGACCAAATAAGAATGTTTCTTTCTCCCCGTCCAGGAGAGAGCGGCCCCTCTCTCTGGGGATCTTCCCGTCCCCCGGTGGAGCGTCTCTGCTGATCCCCGACTCGCTGGCCAGGGCGGAGACACCGGGCACGGAGGGCTGGAGGTTCACCGAGCCGGCGCGCTCCAACACCAGCCTCAAGGTAGGCGTGTGGACGGCTCCTTTGGCGTGAGCTTCAGTCCCAGTAGGTGGAGCGTGAGGACTTGTTCCAGCGCTGACCCCTTCAGACAGGAAGAGCGTGTCTATATTCTATGATTTACCGACGTAAAATGCAACGGGGGAAGAGTTAGGTATTTCTTTACCTTCTCCTGCTGTGATTTGCTCCTCGTTATGTGATCACATGGTAAACTCCACCCTGAATCACGATGATTTTAAATGGTAATGCTTTTCACACGTGATGATTAAATGTGCTTTTCACAGAAAAAAACATACACTGAACCAAAGGCACAAAATGGGGAATGATCTGATCCTCTTAATCCCTTTTTATTGGCTGAGTGTTTTTACCCTCCTGCCGGTGCTGGAAGATGGAGGAGTTTGGGCTTTGATCCTAAAATAGTAAACCTCTGATGCTGAGGCTCTCATGTCTCCTCGGCGTTTTTAGAAGGCGTCTGACGAGCTTCTTTTTGCACACATCCTCCTCCGTAGCCATTGATCACTATGAGAACGTGTCTGTTTATGACGTGTTAATGTATTCACGTTCAGACTGGATGGATTTCTATTGAAACCTGCGGGTGCAGGTTATAATCCAGAGTCATTCTTTTAATACAGACATTATTGTGGTTATGATCCCTCGGATGGAACTAAGGTGTTTTTATACTTTGTTAAAACTGGGACATCGGCTCTGCGGCGCAATGCATGCTGGGAGTGATGGCGCCGCTGTGGAACGTGATCGGTTCTTATGTAATCAGTGCTGCGGGACGGCTATTGTTGAGCCGCCCCCCTTTGAACATGAGTGGCTTTGAGATGCACAAAGGCTCTTGGAGTTAACAAAGACGCCGAGCTTATTTACGGGAGTGGGCGGAGCCTCGAGGAACGACGCTGCATCACTTGTGATTTCTTTGTGAAACATCTGTTCTAAGCGAGTATATGTAACCGGTACAACACATTTAATTATTCTTTCTTAAATATTTAAGTATTTGTGATACACACTTTTTCTTCACTGTTTATTGCCACGCAAAAATTCCCAAATTCCTTCGATGAGTAACGTGTTCAGTTCTGACACAGCACTCCAAGTACAGGATGTCTTTTTTTATAAGATAAGGAAAAGCAGCAAATGATCTGGTCTATTTAAACACCAACTACTTGTTTCCATCCTACAAATGTTCCCATCAGTCGCCGTTGTGAAACATCGATTTGATGGGGACATCATGTAATTCAAATTATTAAAAAGGAGGATGATGGAACTTGATAAATGATGAATCTATTGGTCCACACACACACACACACACACACACACACACACACACACACACACACACACACACACACACACACACACACTGTCGTGAGATACTGACCCATTTCACATCAGAGACATGCACACTTTGTAGCTTATGCATTTCATCTGAACTGCTTCTGCACATGTGAGCTTCATTTTTACTCTCGCCCCCCCACCTCCCCCTCCTTGCCTCTACCTAAAGCAGTTGGACTTTGTCAACCCCCCCAAGGCAAAGGAGGGTAATGGTGCGCAGGACTCTACTTGGGGGAATTCACTGGCAGATGACTGCAAGGTAGTTGGATGAGCGGCGAACCGGCGGAAGTGCCGAGCACAGCACACTGTTTGTGTCTGCGTGTGTGTGGGCTTTAGTAGCCCCCCCGACCCCTCCTGACCCCCCCCCCCCCTCCCCTTCCCACACACACACAGACTGCCCTGTTTCATCATTTCAACGGCGTCGCCTCTCACTTTGTGCTTTCATAGACCGTCACTTCACAGGCCACCTGCGCTAGATCGTGCTACATGCAACCACGTCCTGTGTGAGGGAGTCATTGTTTGGCGGCTTTTAACAAATCTCAAGTGCACAAAACCATCAGCTGTGTCACGGATGGAATCGATTAATTATTTTAATTGTTAATCTTTAAAAAAAAATCCCTATCAGCGTGGTTGCATCTGGTCTCTGTTATTCTTTGCCATTAACATGCACGACGTTGAGATTCCACACACTTCTTTGTGAATTTGCTTCATCCGTGCAGATGTTCCCACAGAACTAACATCCGTGTCTCTCATTGCACAATAACGTAGCGTCATACGTGCAAATAGTGGCTTTCAGTTCTGTATTTGTCTGTGTAGTTGTGCAGCTGATTTACTTTGTGTGCAGTTTCTTCGTGATCTTTCTTGTAGTTTTTGAGGATCTTCTGGGTGGAATGTGTTCATGTTGAACTTCTGTTGATGTTGTTGCGTGAAGCCCCCCCCCCCCCCCCCCCCCCGCCCCCTCTGCGGTCTGTGCCCTGTGTGTCAACTTCCCCGTCTGTGTTTCTGTCTCTCGTGGTGTTTCTTGGGGGTAGATTTTCACTTAGAGTTAATGAAGGTGCTCTAAGCAATGTAAGACCTGAGAGGAATTGGACTTTTATTCTTTTATTCTACATGTGTATAGTGTGTGTAGTAAACCTCGAACCTTTTATAGTTTTAAACAGTGTTATTTTGTTGTTATGTTTGTGATCCAAACATATGTATGTGTTTTTTATCTTATTTGTTCCATTGTTTTAGCCTCGTCTTTGCATCGCCACGTGTAATATTGCTGTTTTTAAGCTTCTTCTGCATTGCAGGATGAGCTGTCGGTCTTCACCGGCTCCAAGTCGGCCCCACCGATGTCCAGCACCGCCTCCGACGGCAGCAGTAAGAGCCCGGAGGAGCGGGCTGCGCCGGGGACCGGGTCCATATCAGCGGGTAGGGTCAAAGATCATGGAAGTCTCAGAGTCACATTCACCAGTCGTCTCTGTCTTTGTTTGTGCTGCAGAGGTCTCCAGCACCAACACTGGGTTTTTTCACTCGTATCCTTCTGTCTCTTTGGTGTTTATGCGTCTGCTGTGCGCAACGCAGGTTTACCTGAAAATGAGAAGAGCTCAGATGTGCAGGACATCATTGAGACGACCCCTGAGCTGGACATGGATGTCATTGGATACAAACCCTGCAGGTAGTGGAAAAGAACTCGCTGCCGGGAGGCCATTTTTAAAAGCTCTCAGGTAGCGTAGCATCACTTCCTGTACTTCTTCTTCTTCTAGCACTCCTACTAAAGGGATCGAGAACATGGCGTTTGACCGAAACACAGAATCTCTGTTTGAAGAACTGTCTTCTGCAGGCAATGACATCATAGGGGACGTGGATGACGGGGCCGACCTGCTGGGTGAGTAAACACCTTATCTTAAGCACTGAAATAGCACAAAGTACCCTGTCAGACTCTGGATTGTGTTGGAATAGTCTGTTTGAAATGTCTTCATTCATTGAATTGAGTATTCACCTCACGAATTCAAAAAGATTTTAAGGATATTTATTTTCAACTTATCCAAATTTTCCATTTGGGAAAGAGGTGGGAAAAAACACATTGTGTCTTTTTTTCATCTGTGAAAACATTTTGTTTTTGTTTGTTTGTGTTTGTTGTTGTAATTCGCATTTCCGCCACCAGAGGCTGAAATGCAAAAGTGCTGTTGTTCCACATAATGTGGGACAGAAAGCCAAACGGAGCAGCAGGTTATTGTCATCATAAGTAACCATCACCATGGAGAAAATTCATACTTCTCTCACTTGCTTCTCAGGAACTGAAACTGTTGATGTTGTCGTATCGGCCAAACGAGATGCACGATAGCGATACATCTTTGTAAAAGCTGATTTACTGCCTCCTACCGCTAAGTCGAGCTAACAGCTGTTGCTCTCCTCATCGTACTTGTTTTAAGTCCAACTCCTGCTGATGGCTGCGCTGCTCCACCACTTGCTGTGGTCCAGCTGTGGTCCAGCTGTGGTCCACCGTTTTGCTGTGTACCCGTGTTAACATCACCTCTCTCTCTCCCGTGTCTCATCCCCTGGCCTTTCCCCATAACCCCAGTGGAGTACTCTGGTGTGTATGACCTCAAACCTTTCCTTATATACTCATTACTCACTTTCTGCCATTGTTACTGCTCCCAGCTTCTTCTCCCTTGTGTTTGATAACAGTAGGCTTACATCCTTTAAGCGGCCTGTTTTTGACTACTTTAGACAGTTTGGTGCATGGATGATGTTTGTTTGATGCTTCCTTTGTTGGCCTAACTATTTTTCCTTTTTACAGCTTGAATGACTTGTTTTGCCTCCGTATTTTCCTGTTTCCCTTCTCCTGTACTACTCTAAACTGCTGTGCTAGCTTTAGAGAACCAGAAACATCTTTTGCTCGTGGAGTCAAACAGCTACTGGCTCCTTCATCACTTTGATCATCCCGCTGTCTCAAACTGTATCCGCATTTCTCTCTCTCTCTCTCTCTCTCTCTCCTCCTCGTCCTCTCCGCCTGACTTGGATTGCATGGTTTTCTCAGACCTTAGTTTGATTGGTAAGACCCCACCCACTCTATCCATCCGTCGGTCATGTGACATGTGCCTGGTTGTTTGTGGTGGTTTCCCTGTTTCGTGTCACCCTACGGTGCTAAATATCTCACTGGGAGGTGTTTCACATCCTTTTGTTGTGTGCGTCGTTGTAGTTGACCCGGTGAGTCCTAATCTGTAGTTGCTCGAGGTTGTGGTCAAACTGTGTTTTTCATGTAAATAAAACTCTTTCATCATCTTCTCTGTTAAGGAATGGGCCGGGAAGTTGAAAATCTCATTCAGGAGAATTCTCAGCTGCTTGAGACAAAGTGAGTGCACCACTAAATGTTTCTCTGTTGTCGTGCCACGCGCTTTAAAGCGGACCCTGAATGTCCTCGTTCCCGTCTGTGCAGGAATGCCCTGAACGTGGTGAACAAAGACCTGATATTGAAGGTGGACGAGTTGACCTGCGAGAAGGAGATGTTGGAGGGAGAGATGGAGGCTGTGCTGCAGGCCAAGACCAAGCTGGAGGAGAAGAATAAAGAGATGGAGGAGGAGCTCAAAAAGTAGATCAATAAAAAGCAGATGCTTTGATTCAACTGCATTACGTGTCCTTGTGAATGCAACGAATGCTCTTTTTTCAGGGTTCGACTGGAGATGGAGGAAGCGAAACACAAAACTAAAGAGGAAGAAGACGTGAGTATTCTGCAGCGGACCCACCGTGCTTGATATACACACACAAACAGTGTACAACGCAGCTGTCACCTTCCTGTCCAGATGTGGCCGTAGCGCTGTGTGCTCATGTGTGCGTTTGCTGGTGTGCTGCCACAGAGCGATGTGCCGACAGCACAGAGGAAGCGCTTCACCCGGGTGGAGATGGCCCGCGTGCTGATGGAAAGGAACCAGTACAAAGAGCGGCTGATGGAGCTGCAGGAAGCGGTGCGGTGGACGGAGATGATCAGGTACACAGCAACAGGCTGCAGGTGTACACACACACTCTTTTTGTTTGCATTGAGGTTCGTCTCAGAGTGTTGTTTTACCAGACGGGGTAAAAAAAGGCTCTAACTCGTCATTAAACTTTAACACCAGTGAAAACATCTATGATTAAAACAACACATTGACAGTGTAACATTGATGTGTTATTTCTAAGGATGTGATGAAATTAGATCATCTTGTTGCTGTAGAAGAGACATGAAGAACGTTTCTCAGGTTTAGGTTTTCACAAAGCAAACTGGTGAATGTAGTAATGACATATTTATCCCCCCAATACGGAACAGATTTTGTCCTTTTTAATGTAAAAGACAATCGGACGTCCTTCCACTTTGTGTGTCTTCAAACTGTGATTTCATCTCGTCTTGTTCTTTAGGGCCTCGAGAGAAAATCCAACACTCACAGAGAAAAAGAAATCCAGCATCTGGCAGTTGTAAGTCCTCCCACATCTTGTTTTTACTACCCCTGTCAGCGTATTGACGTCAACAGCTGAGACGTCTTCAAATACGTTGTCTTTTCTCTTTTCTCGGGATGTGCAATTGAATTGGCAGCATTAGGTAAAGACGGTTTGATCAACCTCCCTCCGGCCAAACCTCTATTTTTACCTTCATTGACACAGAACTTCCCCCCCCCCATTAAAAGAAATGTATTTTACTGTGATGTGTCTTTCTCTCCGAGCACCGCACCACTCGTTTTCACCACAAAGTGCTCCAGCGTGTACAGTACTCTCCTCGTGCCCCCGGGCCGCCCCGCCTCCCGCCTGCTGTGTGCCTTGGTTGATGTTTTCCGACTTAAGAGCTTAAGAAGTTTGAGAGCGACAGGGTTCCCCCTGCAGCCCGAGTACACGTACATGTCTGTCTTAAGTCGGGTGGAACCATATCAGTGTGCTTTTTGAAAAGCGGTTTTAACAGATTTAGCAGATGGGTTCTTCTGGTATTATCCGGATCATTTGAGAAGACATCAAGAGATCGTTTCACAGAAAAAAACTCACGTGTTCAGCAGAAATATTCACACGTAAATCACCGGAGACTAGTTCAGGTTTCATCCTGCTACGATGAATGACATGTATTCAATGGTTTGTTGTTCACATTCAGTTCATAGTCATTCTTGAACTATTCTTGATAAAGACAAAATCTGGTTACTGCTTGAAAATGGATTGATGTTCGATGCCCATCTGCAGCCAAAGGTGATATGAAACGCTTTATTTTTTGCTCTACCTCACTGCACAGTAGATGTTGGTGTCCCTGGTTGTCTGGTTGGTCGGTGACCCCCTACCTTGCTTTTTTCCCTGCTCTCCTGTCTGCTCTGTTTCCCTCCTGGCTTTCTGCAACTTTGCCACCTGCAGCTTCAGCAGACTGTTTAGCTCTTCCTCCAGTTCGCCTGCTATGAAGAAGGCGGAGCCGCAGTCCAACATGAAATACAACCCTCCGGGCAGCATGGTGAAGAGGAGCAGCACTTTCTCCCAGTTCCCAACAGAGAAGTCAAAGACCTTTGACTTCCTCAATGAAGAGTGAGTAACAGAGCAAAGGAAATCGGGTTTCTTGAGTATCTGTAAGCTGAGGACATTTCTCTTGTAGAAAGGACCAGTGCAGCTCGCCATCGCGCAAAGAGCAGAAGAGAGCCCAGTACCGGCAGGTCAAGGCCCACATGCAGAAGGAGGACGGACGGGTCACGGCACACGGCTGGAGCCTGCCCAGCAAATACAAGGTAGGGAGTTAAGGTTAGAACAGAACTCAAGGAGAGCTGCTAAAAACGTTTTTCTAAAAATAATTCTAAGCTAGTATATTTCTGTGTTTTGCTCGAATACATTTTCTGTCGACCACATCGCTTCTGCAGAGGGTAACCGTGTGCGGGTTTCCTTATGCATGTGCGTGCTATGACCCCGACAGGTGGCAAATGGTGGACAAGTGGAGAACAAAATGAACCTACCTGTACCCGTATACCTGAGACCTCTGGATCAGAAAGATGCTTCTATGAAGGTACTTCATACCCCCCTGGATGTAAGCAGCATGCTGTGTTTTTTAATACTAAATCTGATACGTATCATCTCTTTCTTCCTCTATTTGTTCCAGCTGTGGTGTGCTGCAGGGGTCAACCTCTGTGGGGGAAAGACATTACCGGAGCTCATGAAGCAGACGAAGGGTTCTCAGAGTAGTCTGGACCAGTTGGGGCAGGAGAGTAAAGTGAGATTACGTGATTTAAAGGTATCGCTCTTCTCAATCCAGTGACTTCAGCGAGTTCTTCAAACTCGGGTTTGGATTCAGTTGTTCTCATTTAGTTTTGTGTCCATAAGGATCAGGAGAAAGGGGAGCAGGAGAAGGAAGTGATCCTTCAGGATGAGGTGTCCAGTAAGGTGTGGGTGTGCACCAGCACCCACTCCTCCACCAAGGTCATGGTGCTGGACGCCATTCAGCCCTCTGACTTACTTGACAGCTTCTACGCCTGCAACACCCACGTCGTCTGCATTGCCAGCGTGCCGGGTAGGCCGAGTGGTCCCACTGTTTGTTTGTGTGGGAGGGACGGGTGGTTCTCTGTCTTTGTCCTCGTCCCCCCCCCTGACTGCATCGTTCCTTTTCTGATTCTTTCGCTTGGCTTGTTTTTACAGGTGTGCTGGAGACTGATTATTCGGCAGGTGAAGAGGCACCTCAAGACCCGGAAGCCGGCCAAGGGGACAGAGTCTCGCTGGCCGGCAGTGTGGCCAGTGTGGGCTCAGCGGGCAGCGACGGCGCCGCTGCAACGGAGGGGACCACCGCCGTTCCCCAGACAGCCATCGCAGGTGTCACCGACCAGCCGGCTGAGCACAGTGGCGTCTCCAGCTCAGGTACAGCCGTCTTCTGCTGAAACAAATGCTTTGATAGGCTTTGTTCTTCTCAACAGCTCCCCCAGGAGGCCACACCGTTTTCATACGGGTTATCCACCCAAACCTCCCACCCTGTGATCCCACAGTGGAGCTGTCCAGAGAGACCAGTCCAGCAGAGGGCAGCATTCCTACGGCCGAGGAGGCCACGGAAGCAACGGAGGCTAATGCCGGCGTGGGCGACGAGGGAGAGGAGGACCAGGGAGCGGATCCTAACCAGCCAGGGATCTACACGGAGCATGTGTTCACCGACCCCCTGGGGGCGGGCCCCACGGACTCCCCCTCTGCCCACGCACAGAGGCGAGCAATGCTCTTCTACAGGACCCCTTCGGTGGTGTTAATACATAGTAATGAATGCAGAGGTCATATTGCTTGTTTAGTTAAAGGTATTAAAAGTGCAAACAGCAATGATCATTTTTCAGTTTCACATCATCTCTCCTTTTTTTAAGCATCTAAAAAGAGGTTCCTTAACGTTTCCTTTCCTTGTAGATACCACATATTAAATAAAGAAGGATGGGATATTTAGCTTATAGAATATATTTATTTGACTGTTTTCTTATAACAAGAGCCAGAATATTGATTTTCCACCCTCTGTGATGCAGGGGCTGCGGACATGAGGGCGACACTTCCTTTCCAGAAGACTCAGACCCTTCAGATGAAGTCCTGAGGATGAGCAGCGCACTTCCCACCATGTGGCTGGGAGCTCAGAATGGATGGTGAGTGGGAACAACCGCCACTAGAGGGCAGCAGCAACATATAGCAGCTGATCATCATGTCCACTCCTCATGCCCCTGTCTCTCCCTCTCAAGTCTTTATGTGCACTCGTCCGTGGCTCGATGGAGGAAGTGTCTTCACGCCATCAAGCTGAAAGACGCCATCCTGAGCATAGTGTGAGTGCCGTGAGTTGTGTAGTTCTTCATGGACACACGCACACACCAAATACATAATGCCTTCGTGAAGAAAACGGGTGAAAAGAGTGTGTTGTCTCGTTACAGGCACGTTAAAGGGAGAGTCCTGGTAGCTTTGGCCGATGGGACATTGGCGATATTTCACAGAGGCGCCGGTGAGCCCAGAATATCAGAAGCTGTTTAATATTCTGCAGAGTGTTCACACTGTTGGATGGCAATCTACAAAAAAACAACAGTCTCTCAAGTCTTTTTGTTTCTCCCACGCAGACGGTCAGTGGGATTTAACCAACTACCACCTGTTGGATCTGGGTCGGCCTCACCACTCCATCCGCTGTATGACCGTGGTCCATGACAAGGTGTGGTGCGGTTACAGAAACAAGATCTATGTCATCCAGCCCAAGGCCATGAGGATAGAGGTACAGCTGGGGTTACATTTAAGCAACTTCATAACCTTTTTTTTTTTTAAATGTCAAACGTGTCTCACGGTGACGTTTGAAAAAAACGCATTAATCTCTTGCGCCCGAGCAGAAGTCGTTTGACGCTCATCCTCGCAAGGAGAGTCAGGTGCGGCAGCTGGCCTGGGTCGGTGACGGTATCTGGGTCTCCATCCGACTGGACTCCACTCTCCGCTTGTTTCACGCCCACACCTACCAGCACCTCCAGGACGTGGACATCGAGCCCTACGTCAGCAAGATGTTGGGTACGCTGGCCTCACCCCGCCCACCGATTGGATGTTTCCCCTCAGAGATCCCGCCCTCTTCTCTCGCTGTCGTCTTTTTGAGGCGGTAAAGATCGGCTGTGTGTGTGTTGCAGGTACGGGTAAACTGGGCTTCTCATTCGTGAGGATCACAGCTCTGGTGGTGTCCTGCAGCCGACTGTGGGTGGGGACGGGGAACGGCGTCATTGTCTCCATCCCTCTGTCTGAAGGTATCGCACGCCTCGGGTTTACCCCATGCAACCGCCCCGTGAGCCTGAATGTTAAACAGATACAATATGTGCGCTTTTCAGGCGTCACTTGGTGAATTTTGTGGTCTTTGGTCAGAGCACGACTACCTTGTTAGCCTTCCAGGTGCTACGTGTTGTATAAAAGAAAACGGTGTTGCCATGGATACGGGTCTTACAGTCACCTTGTAACTCACAAAAAGCAGTCTAACAACTTTTTTTTACCCTATGAGCTAGATTCTGGTATCCCGGTATATCACGGGATTGCTTTTTCAAGTAAACACATGAATTAATTGAAGTTACCACTATAAGCTCTATATGCTTCTTTGTCATGTAGGATGAATAAGTGTTCAGCTTCTCCACAACAATGAGCTCAAACAGAGTTGAACCCACGGACCACTCTGCTGCCTGAGAGACAGAATGTGTGCGTTTGACCTCCGCTCATAATCCTGCTTTGTTTTTACGGATGAAATCCGCGTCGCAGGAGATCTTAATGTGTGTGGCTGCATATAAGTGTGTGTGTGAGTGTGTTCTTCAATGAGCCTTTAACGCTGAGGATTTTTTATACAGTTCCTAATGAGCCCGTTCGTCAGAGACATCTTTTTCACCCAAGGCCTCCTCTTTTGTCCTTCGCCCAGCTGCCTCCACCCATGAGTGACCTCCTCGTATAAAATGGATAATACGCGTCGTGCAACGTCGGTAGCTTTTATTCCTATTCCTATTCCTATTCTGCAGCCAACACGACAGCGGGAGTAGCGTCAAACCGTCCCGGCAGTGCTGTGCGGGTGTACGGCGATGACGGTTCAGACGGTGGCGCGCAGGGCGGCTTCGTGCCGTACTGCTCCATGGCGCACGCCCAGCTCTGTTTCCATGGACACCGGGATGCTGTCAAGTTTTTCGTCACAGTGCCGGGTAAGCGGCGAGCATCGGTAATGACTCGTGGAGTAAAAGCAGAAGTTGCTTCATGATGACGGCTTTACCTCATTTCTAAAAAAACGGTCCGGTGACTTTGTTGGTCACAGGTCAGGCGATGCCGCCTCCAGGCAGCGCCGATTCAGGCTCCGATGACCCTCCGTCTGAATCCTCTGACGCAGCAACCTCCGAGCCCAGAACATGCTTGGTCATGAGTGGAGGCGAAGGCTACATCGACTTCAGAATGGGTGAGCCAACAAAGCACAGATGTGGTTCAAAGGGCATTGCCTTGGGTGGAGCCAACCGGGAGCGCTTCATTTTTTTAGACTCATTTGTGCAGCACATTCTCACTTAATGAGCCAATGTGTTGCATTTTGGATGCATTGATAATGGACATAATATTATTACGTGTTTTATTCAGTGTGTAATGACCTGAAAATAGGAATCATTGTTTTTTTTGTTACTTTAAAATGAGCCATTAGTTTCTACAAACGCAGCAAGTCCTCCTCCCGGAGTCCATCGTGTTGCACTGCTCACGATGCACTGCTGTGTTTCAGCAGTAGTGCAGAACGGACAAATCAAACACGGGCGTCGGATGGATTGCATTTCTCCTCCAGGCTTAGTACAAGGAGAATTCCTGTAGCTGCATCCTCCACAATGAAGCTGCAGCAACTAGTACGGAAGGGCCCAAGCGTCTTCTACGCTGCTCGTTTGACTCCTCGTCCTCCTCCCCAGGTGACGAAGGCGGAGAGCTGGACGGTTTATCGGAGCCAGCAGCCGGCCAGCAGTCGTCCCCCACCAAGGCCGAGCAGAGCCACCTCATCGTCTGGCAGGTCACGGCCTCCCATGATTGAATAAGAGATCGGACTGTTGTGTCAACGCCAGGGCCGCCCGCCAAAACCCCACATGTCCTCCTCAAAGTTTTTAATTTGGTATTATTGATTGTTCTTAATGCCTGAGTAGTTGGCTACTTTGTAAAAGGAAAAAAACACTTATTTTTAGTCTATGTTTTGTACAGTTTGTTCTTTATGAATTTGAATTTTATGTTTATGTTTATGTAAGTTTATGTTAACCTTAAGAATACGTCCAAGCGTTCCCTTCTGCCGGGTTGCATGTAGGAGAGCCGGTGCTCACTGGAAGAAGTAGTTTGATCAGGTAACGTATGGAAGTCGGCCTCAAACACGTTAAAAGATAAAAAGGAAAAGAGCTTTTGCAATTTTGCATTTATTGAAGTATATTTTATACGAGACATGTGCGACTTTTCCATTTGTAAACCACGCGTGTGTTGGTGTGTGTGAACATCAGGTGTCAGTATTCATTCACCACATTCAACTTTCTTATTTTAACCATTAACCTCAAAATAGGTTCCCTCCAAGTTCAATTCAAACTCATTAAATGTGTCAACAGAGACAAATTACTCCACCGTACGGTCTAATTATTAGAAACGTTGCATGCGCGTACCAGTCGTTGATTACATGTGCATTTACTCAGCAAACGAAGGATAAAACAGAAGTTGCATTAATAGTGAATGACACAGGTTTTAGGACACGAGTAAAGGTCTAAGCAGTTTGGGTCCTGCTACTGAGTAGGTTAGCGTTAGCCTGCATCCTCGTCCAAGTGTGTGTGTGTGTGTGCGCATGTGTGTGTGTGTGTGTGTGTGTGTGTGCGTGTGTGTGTCAACTCGGACGTTTCCAACCCGTCACCGAAAATCTGTGCCGCCAGCCTGGTGCTTCCTGCGTGCTTCAGCTCTTTGGCACTTTAAAATGTTCGATGTTAGTCGCTTGAGGTCGGGAACGCTTATGCTGATGTACACTACAAAACTGTGTGTTGACAACCGGAGGAACGGAACAAAACGTACAAATATCTGTAGCTACGTGTGTGTCGCCCCGGGAACCAAAGGACGAAAGCAGAAGCACCGTTTTTCTTTTTCAATCTCACAAACGTCTCGTGAGCATTTGAGGGGAAACGTGTGTATTTTTAGGGCGTCGCCCTTTGTGGAAATGAACTTGAATAAGGGAAAAAGACTAAAAATAACATTCTTGTGGTCATGCACTAAGGGAGTCTGTCCGGATTGCTCCATCGTTCCTTCTTTTGTTGTTGCAAATACATTTTTAAGTATCTTTTGCTTGTTTTGGACGTGACTTGTGTTTTGAATTCCCGTGGGACGGTTTTATTAAGTCATTTGATGAATACTGCATTAGATAGAAGGACACCCTCATTAAGCAGGTGTCTTAATTAGTTTTTATATCTGAAAAGTTGGGCCTTCAATTCATTTCAAAATGTTAACTTTAATTTTTCTTTTACCGTTCCAGTATTTATTTCCTTTGTTAATGAGCCTAATGGGTTCAGAATGTAACTTTCTACATGAGCAAAATAAATTGGCAGGTTATTGTAAACAAAATAGTCCAATGAGTTTACGTGATTGTTAATGATGGTCAAATGAAAAGAATAAATGTAATCATGTTGAACATTTTTGATAAACCATGAAATCAAGGTGTGCAAACAATAACTTGATGGTTTTAGAACAACACACTAATGTACTAAGCTATGCATGTTTGTTTGTTTACAAAGACGACTCCTCTGTTTCCATCAGATTAATGCCACCGTTTTGGGTGGGGTGTGAGTCTAATGTGTGGTTGTGTGTACAGTACATGTGTAGGAGTTTGAACGCAAGACACATTTGTCTGTGTGTGTGTGTGTGTGTGTGTGTGTGTGTGTGTTCATCTGCGGTACTTCAGAGACTGGTCCCATTCACCCGTTGCACTGGGCTTCTCTGGACGTGTTTCCTCCTGATCAATGTTTGTTAAAACAGCGTCATAGCCTTATTTTTAACAATCTATTAAACTCAATTTCATGGACACGATTCTGTGATCATTTCTTTTTGCAACCTTGGTTGTTGGCTTCTTTATCCAGAACGATTCAAAGCAAAGATTTCAGGGAATTTTAAGTGACAAAATCCTTCTCCTGCAGTACAATCATGACATGTTATCATTATTCCAGAGAAGTATGCTTTCTTCACCATGTCCTATGTAGCTACATGCATGTGTCATGCATGATCATATATGAGTCTCATGTGCTCAGTCACTACAATCTAGTACAGCATCTATTGAGATGGTCTGATGACAAACACAGATGAGATTATATCCAAGCTTATTGACCAGAGGAACAATTCAATTCTCATAATTAAATCATATCATATCAACCACCAGGTGGTGCTGGAGGTCTATTTTCCAAAATACATTCACACATTGAAATAGGATTTCGATGCCTTTGTGCGATGACAGAGTCTCCTCTGAAGACCAAGTTTTATTAGCATGTGCTCTATTCCATCTCTCTGTTTACAGCTCTGTTTCTGACTCTTTCTTTGGTCGCACCGCAGCCAAAGAATCGTGAAAAAACGGTTTACACGCACGAGAAAAACACTCATCTCGATCATCACTGATTTAAGACGGCTACACAAAAGCACTTTACTGTCACGTACACTTTTAACCAGCAGATAATGAGTATTGTTTGTTTGCGTGGGCAAGTTTCTCCGTCCGACCACGGCCGACCTTGCGTCCTGCTGCTCCTACAATTATTTATTTTTTTCGGCTGCGTGCCGAAGGCCCCCTCGTGTGCTCGCAGTGACTCGCAGTGACTCGTGTTTCCAACTCCCCCCCCCCCCGCCCCCCTTGCCCCTATCATTGTGTGTGTGACACACGGCCTTTGACCTTTGCCGGCTGACACAGCGCGTGTTGTGGGCCGGACGGGGGATTCTTCAGTCTGTAACATGTGGGGCTGCATTGCAGCTGCTGTGATTCCTGTCAGAGCTTTTTTCCAAAGAATATGAACGTGGACAAAAAGTCATTTCACAGCATTCAAAAGCAATGCTAGAGAGGTTGGTTTCAAAGAGGACGGGGTGAGCTGTAGGATGTCTAGTAGGACGCAATAAAGATGACTTATCTTGAACTGAAGGGCTGTTCAGGGGTCGGTGTTGTGCTCACTTTCGTTTCTTATGGAGCTTTACTCGCATGCAGATGTCATTAAATGAAACCCGATGGTTACTCACTGCCTGGTGCCTCCTCCGTGTCTCTCTGTCCTTCTCTGTCTTATGAAAATCCACCCCCCTCTTAAAGGTCAAATGTTACGATGGGCCTGTTAGTTATTGTGATTGCAGACAATCTATTCCTCACTGAAAGCTTCAGCCCCTTCTGAGGGAAACGTGGCGGTGGCGGTGTCTCAGCTCGGTGCACGGCTGTGACGGCGTTCTCACTCTGTGGTCTCAGGCCGGAGAGGAACTGCAGAGAAAAGGGAAGAGTGGTAGAATTTTCTCCACGACATGTTGCTTTGTTATGAAATGTATCCTCACGTAGGCCTCCTCCAGCTGACGTGGTCGGACGGTTAAAGGCTGCCGTGGTAACCGCAGCACCGGGGCGGCGTGTGGATGCATTTCACATTTTCACGTCTGACCTCTTAGCAAGTGGTGAGGAGGGGGGGGCTGGATGAAGGAAAGTGAGAAATCCAAGAGGGTGAGAGAAGGGAGAGAGTCAACAGGGTTTGGGGAAAGAGGAGAGGCCCAACAGATGACGCTGGAGTGAAAAATAGGGCAGATGTGAGGAGAGACTGAGCTCTGCATCTAACGGGATCCTCCCACAGCACAGGAAAGGCTCGTAAACACCAAGCAACGTGCATGTTCATATACTTTTTGTATGTGTGGGAGTTTTATACTTTGTTACCTTTTAATTCCCAGATTCCGAAGCGGCCCGGCGGAGATCGATGATCACGCCAGCGTTCGATCCTCAGCACTGAGAGCTGAGCTGAGTTTTTCAATCCCCTTTTGCAAACACAACGCTGAATGCTTAATGTATTTCTGACATTAAATATTATAAACGGTAAACATACAGTACGCACCTCTGTCTTTCCCTGTGCCTTTGTGTGTGCGTGTGTGTGCGCGCGCCCACGATAGCACGTGATAGCATGTGATTTAAAAGATCCCCTCGGCCCCCCGGTGAGAGCGCCCTTGGCCTCCAGTGGAAGTGCGCAGTATTTCACCGTGATGGGCCGGGCTGAGCGCTTTGTGAGCCAATAAAATCTCCTTAGAGCACACTGGGCGCACCATCAACACAACGCCAGCCTCTAGGTGAGGCCTCATCACAGCTCAAATCACCTTAGCGGAAAAATAAAAGTGTGTGTGTGTGTGTGTGTGTGTGTGTAGATGCCTATTTATAGCAAATGTGTAAAGTGCTGAGGGGGCGGAACCAGGGTTGAAAGAGGGGACACAGTTTAGTATGACACCATGTGCTGGCCGGCACTGGGGCACAGGTTATATATGGGTGTAAACCAGTTAGATCCTCATCCTCTTCCTCTCTCTCCCTTACTCCCTTCTCCTATATTTAGGTCGCACCTTCGACGTACACAACTTTGCAGTTTGTGGAACCAACAGAATCAGTCGTGAGACAAGTGCAGAGGGTGAAGTCGGAATCTGTATCAGCATCTGTAGCTTTGTGGATGCAATCACAGGCTGGAAGTAAGCGCTTAGGTTATCCGTGTGTGTGACATGTCATTCGTTGGTAATCATTGCAGTATACTATGAATTATTGACCAGAAAATATACAAATGAGGAATCAAGAGTGTGTGTGTGTGTGTGTGTGTGGATAAATATACATCTGGTGGATTGAATAATGAAGCACCTTTGTACGCAGTTTGAGTGTTCCAGTTATGGAGCGACGTTCCGCCGCGTCAGTCGGCCTCCAGCAGCAGGGAGATCTCCTTGCTCTTTTATTAACCCACTCTGCCCTGAGGGTCTGGTTACCCTTTCATGGATGATGTAGGCACACCGCCGTTATCCTTCTCCCCCTTTTCTCCATGTTATTTATTTTTGTACTATGTGTGCTTTTGCATTCAGGCAGCAGAGGGATAATTTCAGTCCTATGAGTCACTCTCGCTTTCTCCCCGATGATGATATGATTCACGTGGCCTGCGATGGTTTTCGGTCTGAAGAG